TATTATATCTGTAAATTATTGTTGTTCTATTCTTGGTTGTGCGAGGAGGTAGGGTGCGTCCACCTATTCCTCCATCTTGCCGGAAGTCCCAATCCCGGAGTCCTTTTCTACAAACCATCTTCTAATGTCTTAGCTCCTCCCACTAATAACATACAGCTTTCACTTATTACAGTTTCCATGGAAAAAGCATATGTGCATCACAGTCAATCCACTAAAGAAATTGCAAAGACTGTATTAATTGGCTTGGGTTGGCATTACAAAAATACCACAGGAAGGGGGATTCTGCCTGGTGGAAATGTAGGACCAAGGTGTGGGCAGGTTTGGTTTCTTCTGAGGCTTGTCCTTGGGTTGCAGCCATCCCTGATATCTTCTTGTTACGGAACACCAGTCATATGAGTTATAGCCCCACCTTTGTGACCTCATTTAACCCCAGGCAGGAAACACAAAACGAAAGGTCGCCAGGTTTCATTCCTGCTTAGGGCACATGTCGGTTCCATTCCCAGTCCATGTTCCAGGCCAGGTCCCGGGTGAGGGGTACCTGAGGGTCAACCACGCGTTGATGTTTCTCTCCCTCCCCCTCTCCCTCTCCTTCTCCCTCCCTTCCCCTCTCTAAAGAGAGGATGAATGAAATCTTTGGGGGTGGGGAGGGGGGGAAGAAGGAGTTCTTGCCATTTTTGACTGCATGGATGGAACCGGAGACTACTATGCTAAGTGAAGTACATCAGTCAATGAAAGACAAATACCATATGATCTCACTTATAAATGGAATCTAATGAACAAAATAAACCAACGAGCATAGACATATATAGAACAGGCTGACAGCCGCAAGAGAGGAAGGGGGTGGTGGGGACTGGTTGAAAGACGATGAAAGGTAAGTCAAAGAACATATATGCCATGTGGAGATTGACTGTGGGGCTGGGTGGAAAGGGGCAAAGGCGGGGGGGGGGATTGGGGGCAACTGTAATGGAATAAACAGTAAGACATGTAAACAATATATTGGGGAAAATATTTTGGAAAGTAAAGACCCCAAATATCTCAGGGTCTAAAACCACAGGCATAATAAAGTATGGCCCTGGCTCGTGTGTCTCAGTGGGTTGGGCATGATCCGGAAGACTGGAAGGTCACCGATTCGGATTGTAGTCCGGCCACATGCCTGGGTTGAGGGGCAAAGCTGCCCGTTGGGGGCCATGCAAGAGACAACTGACCAATGTTTCACACATGGATGTCTCTCTCCCTTCCCCTGTTTTATATATCACAAATTAAGTCATAGAAAGCCGTATCTGCCTATGTCCATATATGTCTTTTACATGTGATCTTCAATACCAAAGTAAAGCTAGTATAGTGTTCACATACTCAACCCCTAAATTTGACACAAAGCTGTTAACGCTCCCTGGCTCGATTGGGACAACCTCTACAGAAGAGAAGAATCCACTGAGTACGCTCCCTGGCTCGATTGGGACAACCTCTACAGAAGAGAAGAATCCACTGAGTACGGGAGCGAAGCATACTCAGGAGTAAACGCACTAGCGAGTTTTTCTCTCGCCTTGAACTCACAGGAACTACTGCAAAGGTCAAGTCTATGGCAAAGGTTCAGGTGCACAGCTACCGCTAGTATAAGGGCAGGCAGTCGTACACTTCACGTGGCATTCCTCCCCTCAACGCCCCCAATACCCAGTTGACACCATGTATGAGTCGGCACGTCGGGTGGCAAGCCCCCCTTCCCTCACGCCTCCAGGACAAAGTGACAGAAAGCAAACACAGTAAGTGGGACTCAACGCGACGTGAGAGGTGCGGCAGAGAAGCGTTAACGAGAAGGAACGCACAGGCAAAAGCCAAGCAGACCAAGTCCTGTCTTTGAATCACCATCAAGCCAGGGGAGAGCGCGAACGCAGTCCCCCACTACCACAAATTATGCAGTCGAGTTTCCCACATTTGGGGAAATCGCAGGGGTCAGCACATCCGGAGTGCAATGGATAAGCCTCGCCCTGGGAAAACCACCTTCGTGATCATGGTATCTCCCCTGCCAGGTAAGTATGAGTTGTTTCGCTCGCCTCCCCGCGAACCCTCACGCTCGCCTCCCTTTACACCCGCGGTGACTTTCCTCACGCCCTACATCGCCCCGCCCTCGCTGCCTGAGGGTCCCTCGCTCCCAACCTGGCCCGTGGCGAAAACAACCACTGCGTCGTTTGCTTCTCGGGCCGCGGGCGGGGGGGGGGGGAGGGGGCGGCGGGTCGTGCAGGCGCTGGCGGGGGGGAAGGACAGGCAGCCTCTGCGCTCCTGCTCATCTACATACACCACGCCCTTGTCATGACGTTCCGGACGCCCTGCCTTCCATTCTGCCGCCCGCGGGACGCGCGCCGCTGGCGGTGAGGCCACCACTCCCCGGCCCGAGAGGACCGGATCCCGCCGCAGTCTGCGCCCAGCACTTACGGCCCCACCTTCGGCGCAGCAAAAGATAATTTCGCCCTATTTTTGTCCTCGCCTGCTGGAACTCATCTTCAAAGTAATCGAAAAGTCAGGGAAGGCCTTTTTGCCGGTTGACATTAAGTGTTAAGTGGCTTAATAAGAAATCGTGATAATGTTTATTTACGGGGTCTTTCTGGGTCAAAGTGACGCAACGTGCTTCGGAATATGTGGTAGCCCAACCTAGTAAGGCGGAACGACATACCAGGATTCTACATTTTGTAGAAAGAAAATCAGGTTGAAGCGCTGAGCGGTCCCCTTCAGCCGCAGCCAGGCGTGGGGGGGGGGGGGGGGGGGGGGGTCTCCCGGGAAACCCACTGGCCAGGGTCAGGCGCCCTTCTGCCCCAGCACGCGCAACACGGTGGCCCCAAAGTGCCCCCTGGTCCTTTCTGACTCGGACTCTGCCAAAGATGGACACAGCAGACAGTAGTGAGTGGTGAAACGGATTTCTTTCAGTAACTACCGACAGGGTGGGAAAAGCCGAGCTCCATTCCGATTAGTGCAGAGGTGATCGAGGCGTCTCTAAAAGGAGAATGGGGGGTGGGTGGGGGGAGAGCTCAGTAGAGTCAGGGAAGTGAAAAACTACAAGGGTTGGTCCGTATAAAGGCAGTTAGGCCAGCCGTGTTCCTTGGCAAGCAGTGATTGAAGTTAGGATTCTGTCCTCCCAGAGACCGGGGGACAGGCTCTGTCCTTCCCCCATTACATTTCAAAGGAGTATAAACCTCTAGGACTTTCTCAGGCAGGCATTTAATGGGGGGATGGGAGGTCCTTCCTAGGGACAGGACCTGATGCTGCTGGGAGCCATGCTGGTGGCTAGTCAAGGCTCTTGCTGCGGGAAGCGCTTTGGGTGGGGTGCTATATGCTGAGAGTTCTGCGGTTGGCAGCTTAAGGAATTCTGTTTTGTGATCAGATAAGATGACTGCACTCCCCCTGGGTGAATCCTGGCCCCTTCTCTTATATTCTGATCTCCTCTTTCACGACACTGAGAGTTTCTCCATTCAACAGTTGTGTATTGAGTGCATACACCGTGCCAGACACTGTTCGGGAATTTGGGAACATAAAGCCCTCTTGGAGTGGGGTGGGAGAAAATCGACAATGGATACATTAGGTAAATTAATTAATGCGTTAGGTGCTAAGAGCGATGGAACAAAGGAACAAAAAGGAGGGAAAGGGGATCGGGAGTTGCAGTAAGGGGCAGGTGGCTGTGTTAAACCGGGTGGTCAGAAGAGGCCGCATTGAGAAGGCGCCATGACGAGGTTGTGGAGAAAAGGGGTCCCTAGTGCACTGTTGGTGGGACTGCAGACTGGTGCAGCCACTGTGGAAATCAGTATGGAACTTCCTCAGAAAACTAAAAATGGATCTGCCTTTTGACCCAGCAATTCCACTGTTGGGACTATACCCTAAGAATCCTGAAACACCTGTGCACCCCAATGATCATAGCAGCACAATTTACAATAGCCAAGTGCCGGAAGCAACCTAAGTGCTCACAGGTAAATGAATGGACCAAAAAACGGGCACGTTCACACAGTGGAACACTATGCAGCAGAAAGAAAGAAGGAGCCCCCTACCCTTCATGACAGCGTGGATGGAACTGGAGAGCATTATGCTAAGTGAAGTAAGCCAGGCCGTGAAGGACAAACACCGTATGATCTCGCCTATAAGCGGAACCTAATCAACAAAACAAACAAGCAAGCAAAATAGAACCAGAGACATTGATATAGAGAACAAACTGAGAGTAACCAGAGGGGAGGCGGAGGGGGGGATAAAGGGGGAAATAAGGGGAAGGGTCGTCAAGGAACAGCTATAAAACAGGACCCATTGACAAAGCCAAATGGGGCGGGGGTAGGATTGAGGGTGGGGGGTGGGTGGGGGCGGGGGAGAGTGGGGGTGGGAAAATGGAGACAACTGCACTTGAACAACAATAAAAATAAAAATGAACAATCTTAAAAAACGAGGGAGAGAAAGAAGGTGCCATGTGAGCCAGAGACCCGAAGAAGGTGAGGGAGTTGGTCACCGGGATGTCTGGGGGAAGGGGCATCCTTAGCGCTCAGATCGGCAGGAGCACAAGCCCAGGTAAGGCTGTGTTCGGAGAACAGCACGCAGGCCCTGTGTCTGGAGCAAACTTAAAAAGAGTCGCACAAAAATTAAGTCAGAGAAGTGACTAGGTGAGGGCAAGGTCATGAGGACCTTGTAGGCCATTGTAAGGCTATTTAAATCTGAGCGAACCAGAAGGCTTTGAGCACGGGGTGGCAGGGCCCACAGCAGGGAGCTCGCTCAGGAGACTCGCACGATCCGGGCAAGACGATGCTGGCGTGTGCATTTTTGGCATAAGGATAAATTTGAACTAAAGGCACTTGAACACCAGCAGGCGGCTTGGCGGTTAGCAGCCGCCTAACCGTGCCGGTGCCGCCGAGTTCTCCTCCTTCCCTGTGGGAGGGAGGCCTCCGCCCGCCGCCCGCCCCACGCAGCCGCTTCGCCAGCGCCGCTCCCCTCCTCTCCGCCCGCCCCCCCCGCGTTCCTGCCGGCTTTCCCGCCACGGATCGGACCGCTGTCGTCACCCCTCCCCCACCCCCCCACCCCCCTTGCAGAAAGGCGCACAGGGAGGGGAAACGAGGCAACAGGTGAGAGTCCGGGGCCAGGCGTCCTGAAACATCGTAGTTGCGGGGCGGGCCCCCCCCGGCTGAGGATCTGCTCCGCTCCGCCGGGAAAGGGAGCGGGGGCGGCGCGTGCTCGGCTCCCTTCAGAGGGCCAAGCCCAAGGCCGGTCAGACTGCGGGCGCCGCTCCAGCGTCTTGGCGTCCGTCATGGCAGGAAAAAGTGACGGCCCGGCCCCAGCAGCGTGCGCCCTTCGATAGCTCAGCTGGTAGAGCGGAGGACTGTAGGCTACGTCTGTGTGGACATCCTTAGGTCGCTGGTTCGATTCCGGCTCGAAGGAGATGCCTGACGTTTTTTCCTCCACGAGGAAAGGCACACCCCCCCCCCGCCTGGCGCCCAGGCCTGGGGGCGGGGGGGGGAGGGGTTTGACCAGATGTCTAACTTTAGCTCTGGGCCCTCGAGGCTGAATCGGCAGGGCCTGAAGGGAAGGGTCTGGAGGTCCAACCAGAGAGGGCACCCAGGAAGTAAGGGGCTGTGAGTGAGGGAGCGTGCATACAGAGGCGGCAAGGGAGTGAGGGGTCCTTGCTCTCTTCCCAGCTGAGGGGAGGAAACTCCGGAGGTTGGATGTGCAAGTGGACTCGGACTGGAAGTGGAACCGCAATGGGAGGGTGGCTCTCTGAAGCTTCGGCTGCCCAGCGTGTGCTCTGCCCTGACCCCTGAGGCCACAGTCATAGTCGGTTCTGGTTCTGCCTCTCAAACTGGAAGCTGCGTTTCCCCACACGTCTTCCTTTCCTGGAGGGCTGATTCCCCGACCCCCGGCAGTTTCAGCCTTCCCTGCTGCTGTCCCACTGTTAAGACGCGCTGAGTCCGAGCCTTGCGGTCTCCACGGGTTCGCAAGGCCATACCATTGCAGTCTGATAGGGGACCCTCGGGAACATTCTATTGCTCTGCAGCTAGAGAGAGACCCCGGCCTCCAATGCCACCACCTGCGGAGACCAGCGGACAGGGCCAAAGACGGAACCTTAGGCCTTCACTGGATGTGGCCCCCGAGGAATGTGGAGGTATGGAATCCTTGGGAACCTACCTTGGGTTCTTGGGGAGGCGGGGGCGGCGGCGGTGCGGGTTGGGGGGGGGGGGGGGCTGAGTTTGATGTCCAGCACCCGTGAATGTGTGCCTGGGTATGGCCGACTCTTCTTCCTGTCTGGGGTGTAGCTGAGAGTATCAGGGAGCCTCCAAGGCACTGCCCCTCATCCTCAAAGGTGCAGAGGTGCCTGCCGCCCAGTCAGAGGGTGGGGACACATTTCGGTATGGCTTGCGATGCTTCTAAGTGGGACGGACTTTCGCTGGGTGATTGAGTGGTCTTGGGATGGTGGGCCCAGGTCTGTAAAATACATGGAGCTGGGGCAGGGAGAGTCCAACCCGGACACCGATGTTTTCTACCTCTCCATCTCAGACTCCAGGACCTCTTCAGGAAGCCCCAGAACTTTGACCTATATTTCAGGAATCAGCAGCCTCTGCCGAAGGAATCCGGGTGAGTGGGCAAGAGGAGGGGAGCTAAGCCCCCAGACTGGCCAGAGTGCCTCATGAAGCCCTGGGAGTGGTCTCCCCGGCTAGCCTCACATCGTTTCTCCATCGCTTCTCCATAAGCCTCACTGGGCCACAAAGCAAGCTTAGGCCATTGTGGGCAGGAGGGTTGAGGGGCACATCAGCCCCAGGAGGGGGGACAGGCTGGGGGGTGTGGGGAGGAGGCCAGGGGAAAATAGGGGCTGAGCTTGGAACATGTAGCTATGCTAAAAAATAAAGAAATGTACAGTGACTGATGGGGTCATGCCCAGAACACAAGAGCCAGTTGAAAAGGGTTCCCGCTGGCCAAATCGAGTTAATGATAATGGATTATAATCCACTGAATAAAATAGGTACGGGGCCTAAAAGCAATGACACACCAATGTCAATAAACACTAAGGACTAGATCTTGGTCTCTAAATACTGTTCTCCAATAAAAGAAACCAGGACTCTTTGGAGTCCTGCCTAGCCTCACTTCTTTGGGTTGTCATTTTCCCATGGGGGCTCCCACGTACGTGTAAAAATCTGTATGTTTTTCTCCCATTAATGTGTTTCAGGTCCTTTTTAATTCCCAGGCTCCATTGGAGACCCTAAGAGGGTGAAAGGGAAGTTTTGACTGCACTACCGCTTGACCCAGGGCGAAGCAATGGATGAACAGAAGGTATGTAAGAAAAACGAGGTCCTTTCCCTTGCTCTGACGTCTGTACAATGATCACATTCTCCTACAGTGAAGAGGTGGAGGGGAGGCTAGGTTGGAGGCTAATTCTGTGGACCAGAGGATCCTCTCCCTGAGATCAGGGACTGTATAGCTTTTACTTAGGGGTTCAAGCAAATGGTGTTGAGAGACATCACTGATGAAGCTGATCAAGGGAGCGTTCCCAATTCCGTAATTTCTCTACAGGAAGGACCAGTGTTGCTAATCTGATCTGGACTCAAGAAGGAGTGCCTCGACCAGCGCGGAGTGGGGCGGAGTGGGGGGGGGGGTACCTGAGTGGGGGCCACGGGAGATTAGAAAGGACACAACACAGACACTTTAAGGCAAAGCGGGGACCAGGTGGGAGATCGTCCTCTGATGGGGAGACAATGAGCCCTGAACATGGTCTCCGAGTTTATTTTATAGGGGTTGATTAGACAGAGCTCAAGGACGTTTTGCAAATTTAGGGACACGCTGCAGGAACAGATTGTTTCGTCCCCAGGCTATCTAATGGATATATGTGTTTTCTGCAAAAGTTCCAGCGCATACAGCTGAAGCTTGCGACTATGTATTTCATTCTCAACCCTCGCAGGTTCTGGCTGTGTCAGCTGCTGGCTTGATCCGCCTTGCCAGATGCAAGCAAGTCAAGTGCGGCTTTGCCAAGCACTCCACTTTGGCTATGACGCCAGCCTTCACCGTCCCCAGGGGGAGAACCTGGGAACCTGCCGGAAACACTTTCTTCTTCTTTTTTGAAGCCTGAGATCAAGAAATTGACTCACTAAGCATATTAAAAGCCCGTTATAGCCCTGCACTAGGGAGCGATCAACAGAACAGCCAAGAATCCCCGGTCGCGGGGAATTCACACTCCCGTGGGTAAAATTAGAAAACTGAAATGGATGTGTTATGTCAAAATCAGCGTTTCTCAAACTTCATTGCGTATAGCAGCGATTCCCCTTTTCTCTTTCGTGATCGTGTGACTGTACGTGACATTCTTTGTAAAAACCTAATCCTTACCATGTTCTCTCCCCTTACCACTCCGTGACTTAACCGGTGAGAGCCACAAGGACTTTTAAACCTTACATACACCTGGCTATTCAGTCCTAGGCACTTGGTGGTCTTTCTCAAGGTGCCCAGTGGGAACAGTGACCAACAATCAGCACCGGGAGCCACGAAACGTTAAGGAAGTCACACTTAACCCCTAGCTTCCGTCTGTCCCCAACTCCTCCGTTGAGCCCAACGGGCAAAACACTCAACAGACCGCTGGCACAAAGGGAAGTGTATCGGAAGAACAGGCGGGAAGCACAGGTCCCCGCCCCCCGCCCCCCGCCCCCCGCGGGGAGAAAAGAAAGAAAAAGACCTAGGCAGAGGGCGCGACGCGAGCAAGGAAAGAAAAGAGAAAAAAGCACCGCTAGAGCACAAAAACCACCACAACAACTCTGACATTGAACTTCCGAAAGCCAGGGGAGAGCGCGAACGCAGTCCCCCACTACCACAAATTATGCAGTCGAGTTTCCCACATTTGGGGAAATCGCAGGGGTCAGCACATCCGGAGTGCAATGGATAAGCCTCGCCCTGGGAAAACCACCTTCGTGATCATGGTATCTCCCCTGCCAGGTAAGTATGAGTTGCTCTGCCCGCCTCCCTGCGAACCCTCACGCTTGCCTCCCTTTACACCCGAGGTAACCTTTCTCACGCCGCCTCCGCACCCTCGCCGCCTGAGCGTCCCCCACCCCAAACCTGCCCACCGTGAGAACCACCTCGGCTGCGTTTGCGTGTGGGGACGCGGGTCGCAGAGGCGCCGGCGGAGTACGACCGGCAGGCTCTGCGCCCCTGTTCATCTGCATACGCCACGCCCTCGTCGTGACGCCCCGTGGTCCTGTCTTCCACCCGGAGCCCGACTCACGGGGAGAGCGGCTGTGGCTCTTCTAGTTAAAGCAAAGGTTAGTTTGCAATTTATAGTTAGGTTGAGGAGTGCCATCTTTCTTACCGTCTTTTTTCTAAAATTTTTCGCAGTGGGAAAGTCAAAGTTTGGGGCTTATGGTTTGTCTTCTTTCTATGATTTTATTTTTGTCTATATTTAGAGAGGGAGAGAAACAAACACCCACCGGTTGCCTCTCACACGCCCCTAACTGGGGACCTGGCCTGCAACCCGGAATGAACCCGCGACCTTTCTAGTCCCCACACCAGGCATGGATGTTTACTTTTTCTTGGGCTGCCTTTGTGGTCTGGAAGAGGTTAGGGCAGGTTTGCTTGACCTCTAGGTTTCTCTAGGTATGACTCATTGACTGTTGTTAAGGGGAAAAAAGTAAATGCACTAGTATATGCAGTATGCTACCCTTTGTCTAGGAAAAAAAATGTGAAAAATAGAAAAAACAAAAACCCCCAAACAAAACAACCAAAATGACTAAAAGCAAGTACGTTGACTGTAAGCAAGCATCTTCAAGTCTAAGGACAAGAACTGCCAACAAATACTGAACTGTCCCATAGTGGGGTCGTTTTTCATAGCTACATGACTGTAACAATTCTGACAATGCTGTGCGTATTGCAGGATTGACTGAACGGGTAAACGGATGTTGGGACTCAAGAATGGAATGGGAGGGCAAGGAGGAACCACGAGGTGTTAAGTTGCAAACTGGAATTGGAGATATCGGTAGGGCCCTGCTCATTATTTTTAATAGGTATAGGTATGTGTAAGAAGTACATGTATTTCCTAGCTCTAGCCCCTGAAGGGGCCTAGAAGTGAAGACACCCAGTAACAATAAGCATACCCAGTGCCCTGTTCTTCCTTTCCAAACGCCATTCCCCAATAAAAAGACCCAGGCTCTTTGGAGAAATAGACAATTTTCAAGAAGTCACCTTCCCTGTGTGAGCCTGGAACATCTTGTGCCAGAGAATAAGGAAATGCTCCAAAAATTGTACGAACATCTCAAAAGGCAGCTAAACTTCAAGGGGCTTTCGTGGGCTCAATCTGACAGCATTTGAATATCAAAAGAAATAAAAACAGTTATGGATTATAAACAACTGAATAACAACCACGAGTTCATATTAATTGTACCTAAGGGAAGGAGGGAAAGTTCTTCCTTACCATAGACCGCCAACTAATAAATGTACAATGAATGATGGGATTAGAAAATCAGGATTTGGTTAAAAACTATTGTGCACAAGTTTGATAAGTAGCTGAATACTTACACATTATCTGCACACAAATTGCTGAATAATTACACAGGGCACACCTGGTAAACACCTCCAGCGGCAGGAGGTTGCAGGGCTGGCTCCAGTGCACCCACCTCGTGTGCTGCTGCAGCACCCTCCCAGACTGACTCTGGACTCGCTTTGGCTAATGGAACATTATTATTAGGAAACGTGATGCAAGCAGAAGGTTGAAAAGCATTTTGTTATTGGGACTTGCTCTCACTTGCTGTCCTGCGACCACCCTGAGAAGAAGTCTAGGTTGGCCTGCTGGAGCCCGTTGGAGCAAGCCTGGGTTAGCCTGTTGATGGAGATGAACCATGTCAGCTGAGGTCCCTCAGACTGACCAGGCCCCAACTGACTGCAAGCCAACTGACAGCAGTGTGAGTGATCCCACTGGAGACCCGAAGAACTGCCCAGCTGAGCCCAGCCAAAACTGCTGATCCAAAGAATTGTGAGCAAATAGAATGGTCGTTCTTTTAAAGATTTCATTTATTTACTTTTAGAGAGGGGAAGGGTGGGAGAGAAACATCGATGGGCTGCCTCTTACACGCCCCCCCCGGCCCCCCCGCTCACCTCGGACCCACCCGCAACTCAGGCACGTGCCCTGACTGGGAACTGAACCGGTGACCTTGTGGTTTGCAGGACGACGGCCAACACACCGAGCTACACCCGTCAGCGCGAATGGTCATTATTTTAAGTAACGTAAGTTTTACGGCCGTCTGTTACACAGCAATGGATAACTGATACGGCACCTTAACCAAGTAATCAGTGTTACCACCACCAATAATTGAACAGACGGACTTAATGCATAGCGCCAAAATGCGATGCCCAGAGAAGAGCACTCTATTAATTTTTTAGGGCTGCCCAAGTACAGGCATACCTCGTATTTTGCACCTCAATTTATTGTGCTTCACGGGTGTTGTGTGTTTTAACAATAGACGGCAAGACCATCCACCAGCACGAGGATTATGACTCGCTTTTTGTGATACTTGCTTTCTTACTGCAATGGAACCCGAGATATGTCTAAGGTATGCCTCTACCACAAACTGGGTAGCTGAAAACAACAGGTATTTTATTCTCTC